GTGAAAATGGCTGGGTAGGGCGTTTGTAAGAGAAGGTTGGAGACGAAAGACCCCCCCGAAACCCCAACGCCCGACCACAGAGCCCTGTTGACGAACCGCGCATGGCTCCCGAGAACTGTGGGTGGCACCACTTGACTGTGGTGAACCCAAACCGCGCTTCCTGAACCTTCGTCAGGCGCCGAAATTGTGGGTTTGTGGTGCTGGATTGATGACTGTTGTTCTAAACTAGCCAATCCCACACTTGTGACAGGCCACGTACGACAGTAACTATCCTGCGTGGGCAATTCGTGACGCAGACATCACGTGAGTGCGTCATAGAACCTGATTGTTTGCCTGTTGCAGCGGCATTTTGTGGATGTGGTGGCGAAAGAAACACGTGGGAGCACAGGGGGCGGAATGTATGATGCATGCATTCTGGTAATCACGGCTAAACACCCACACCACGCCTTGCTCACGCGTGAATCACGCCTAAGGGTAGAAAGATTCGGTAACAGACGAAACCCGAAAGTGTTCCTGATGTATCAGATGAACATGGAAACCGTTTCTGGTGGATCAGATACAGCTGAAAAGCATTTCTGAATGAACAGATTTCACTAAGTGCATATTTCTGAATTATCAGATTAAATCAAAAACTAGCCCTCAAATATAGGACAAACAGACAAAAAAATTCTGCTAGCGACGTCCCTGCTCAGAAGCCTTTATCGGGTCTCTTGGAAGTGTCCCAAATGTGTCACTGATCCCGAAAGAGACAATCGGGACAGTGTACAGTGCTTCCCGAAACTGTTCCATCCCAAATTTGCCCTTACACAAGCGGCAATTGGTACAAATTTATCTGTAAACCATCCTACGCGTGTATAATATCTTAGTGGTTGCGAAAGTTCGTAGACCGGAAGCTCTGAGGTTCGAATTCTAGCATCGTCGCCAAAAACTCCTCGTTGATTTTTGCTCGCAAACCTGTGACCCACTACTACAGATAGTGTCAGTTGGTTACAACTATGTTTAGGTAGTTGTCGTAACTACCTATGCATAATTCGTAATGATTTTCTATTAAAAATTGACTTATATAATTTTGTTAATAATTAGAGCTATGAAATCAAACTACTAATAATAAATATGATAATCTAAGCAGTAGAATTATTGTATCATTATCGTGAGTAGTATCGGAAACAGTATCACATATACTTCAAATTACATGCAATTATGTAAGGGCAGTTTATTGAATCTCATTATATCAAGTATAGAACAAAATTTATGGAACCAACTCCCGTCGCCAATCCCCCCACCCCCCCCCCCCCCCCCCCCCCCCCCATGTCCACCCCACCCACGAACAAGCGAATCGATCGAGGGGGGGGGGGGGGCAAATTCTCGCAAATTTCGTCCTCCCCCACCCCCCACACCAAAACAATCGATCGAGGGGGAGGGGGGGGGGGGGAATTCTCGCCAATTTCGATAGCCCCCCTTTTCCCCGCCCCTTCACAAGCAATCAATCATGGGGGGAGGGGAGGCGAATTCTTGCCAATTTCGTTAGTCCCCCCCTTCCCCCCCGCTCCTCACAAACATTCAATCGATAGGGGAGGGGAGGCGAAATGTATGTACCTCACAGATGACACCAACTCAGCGTTACCTGGGAGGCAGATAACTTTCGCGCCACCTGTCATGCACACCGAATTATCACCTGCCATTGCTATATCGAAGCTCTCTCGAAGAGCTTTAAAACAAGCCAAGTTGCCTCGCGAAATGTTCTGCCATTACGAAGTTATGGCTCGGACAGCGTTTGCCTAGCGTTAGAGTGCTAGCGCACTAGCGTTGACTCGGGTAGCATTCCGCCGTCGTGTCAAGATTCTAGGCAAGAATTAGGAAAGGAGGGGTTGCACTAGCAGCAGTTGGCATACATATAGGAAACCCTAATTGGGTTGTACTCGCTATAGAGTACCCCACTGCAGGCTAGACAATAATAACATTCTGACACACCCCCATAGCCAAAGTGGGGTGTAATCAGCACAATGAGCAGGCATAGCAATAGTTCACAATTATAAGCAAAGCTAGAGGTGATCATAGAGGGCAAGTGAGGAGGAGGAGAGACTGTGAGGGCGAGAAGATGAAAGGCGCCGACTGAAGCTGCAGACACACGGGCAACAGGAGCGGCGCGCACAGTGGCTACCGAGCGCACGAGGGCACCGGACTACGGGAGTATCTGGCTCCGCGGCTACGACGAGCACACACAGGAGCAACGGACCCACAGGCGACTGGCGAAGCAGGCTCGCTGGGCTACCGAGAGCACGACGGCTCCGGACTACAGGCGCTGCAGACGACACGACGGCTGCCTCCACCCAACCTCCTCCGACCGTCCCACGCCCCTCTCACACACCCCCTGCTGAAACCCTAGCTCCACTCCCACGGCACCCCCCCACACACCCACCCCCCTAAACCCTAAACCCTCGGCTCCCACACACCCACCCCCCTCAGCGGCAGCTGCAGCAGTGGGAGACGGAGGAGGAGGAGGAGGAGCTGCAGGTTACCCACACCGGTCACCCCCATGCCCGCCACCCCCAAACCCTAACGCAGGCAGGAGCGCGGGAAACAGCAGGGGCGGTTCACGGAGGGAAAGGGAGGCGGCGGGGTGGCCATCTCCTGGGCGCCACGAAGAAGCAGGGCGCGGGCCCCCCGAGGGCGCCACGGCGGGTGACGGGAGGGGGGCCGCGCACGGGCCCCCGAGGGCGGCTCGACGGGCGACGGGAGGGGCCGCGCGCGGGCCCCCAAGGCGCCGCGACGAGGCGACGGGAGGGGGCGGCGCGCGGGCCCCCAAGGTGCCGCGACGAGGCGACGGGAGGGAAGGGACGCGCGGGCCCCCAAGGCGCCGCGACGAGGCGACGGGAGGGGGCGGCGCGCGGGCCCCCAGGGCGCCGCGACGAGGCGACGGGAGGAGGACGACGGGGGGCAGCGCGCAGGTCCCCGGGGGCGCCACGACGGGCAGGAAACCGCCGCGCGCCTCGGGGCGCACGGCGGGCAGAAAACCGCCGTACGCCCCGAGCGCACGGCGGGATGAAAAACCCTAAAATTTGTCGCCGCGCGGAGCGCGCGACAGGAAGAAGACAGCGCGCGCCCGAGGCGCGCGAGAAGCAGAACAGCAGCGGAAGCAGTTAGGTGGCGGGCCCACCCACAGGATCGACCCAGGAGGGTCGACCTGCTCTGATAGCATGTCAAGATTCTAGGCAAGAATTAGGAAAGGAGGGGTTGCACTAGCAGCAGTTGGCATACATATAGGAAACCCTAATTGGGTTGTACTCGCTATAGAGTACCCCACTGCAGGCTAGACAATAATAACATTCTGACACGTCGAACCGCGTAGAAACGAAATTCCAGCGAGGAAGGAATTCGCATGAATCAATTGACTATATCCAGGTACAAACAGAGAATGAATAAATAGCTATAGCTAGCAAGGGCCTTGGGAATCAACCTGGGAACAACCAGGGATGATCCCATATAATTCCAAGCAACAGAACCAACCTGGCTGGACAAAATAGCAGGTGGTAGGTTTGTAAACAACCTCTGGTTCTGTTTTTCCAACCCGGGAAAACAACAGAAACGCACACGTCATCACATGCTACACATACAGGGTGCACACCACACAATCAAAACTTAACCACCTGCCATAACGCCTTCATCATTTCTTCCACAACCAGATTACCAATGCAAATCCTCCCTAAACCCAACCTAACCGCATTACAACCCATCTTGCTTCAAAACTGATTGCATTTAACTTGAGTCCACTCAGGTGGCCCACTCTCATTCTCCATTCGGTTAGACGTGTTCTATTCTTGTGTCTGCCAAGTTTGTTCCTTAGGCTCCTAGTAACTCGTAAACCATTTGTAGTTGTGTTCGCCCTCGATTTTCGCTATCCCGTAGATTTTAAGCATCTCTCGAGCCTTTAATGATTTTGATAATGATTTTCCGTTCTTCTGCTAGAGGTTTTTTTCCCCAAAACATAAACACGTTTATATCTCTTAGTTACCACCGTTGAAACTCCGCTATATTTATGTAGTAGATTCTGTGGTACGATCCTTGATGTATCTCACTATTTTTGTTGCTCCTAGTAATGGCTGCGTGGTGCTATGTGTGTCTCCTCTCACTGGTTATGTTATGATGGTCTAATCATGCGCGGTTCTACCCTATTTTTTTCTTTTGTATATCTTTGTTGCAGTGAATGATGTTAATTTCACCGTGGGCCAGGCTTTCTTTTTCAGCTTGGCATCATTGAAGATACGTCATGCAAATCTTCAGCATACGATGTGTCGTTCCAGTGCTTTTTATGTCGCCTAGATGTCGTTTGCTTCTTGATTTCGCTAACAGTCATTGGATGATGAGATGTGATTGACCTAGTTAATTTTCCTTGTTTTTTTTTACTCACTCATTATCCACTGCAGCTTTCGTTTATTTATTTATTTATTTTTTTATGTGGGCGAGCCCTCTTACGTGGTGCCTATTATTTCGTGATGCAGGGTTATAATGTCGTAACCAGCTTGCTGGTTTGTACATGCTCTCCCGTTTTCTCCAATAGAAGTCAATTTCAAGTTAACTCCCACTCATCTGGCTGTTTGTTGATTGTGTCAAATGCAGATACGCTGGATATATTATATTTGTAGATGCATTGTGGAAACTTCTACTGCTCGTTTTTTATCCAGAATGTTGTTTTTTTTTTTTTTTAATAGCATGTATGCATTATTATCGAATATGATTTGAAACTGGAAAACTGTAGCTACCAAATTGTACATAGAGACTTAAAGCCAACCTATATGTGCACCAATACCAGAACCAATAAAATTCAAACCTCACACGTGTGTCGCTGGTCTGTCATTGGGCACAAATGTGTTTTACGAAGGTCCCAAAACTGTCCAAATAGGTCCCCCGAAACACTTTCGGGACCCCGCCAAAGAGACTTCCAAGACAGATTCGTGGCTCCTCAAACCGTACAGTAGTTGTTTCCAAAAGACACTTTGGGGATGGGGGTCAAATGTGTCCCAAAAGTCTCCTGCAGGATGGTTTTGGGACGATTTTGGGAGCTGGGATTTTTTAGATGTAGACCGTCTTTTCATCAGCGGCTGCAGCAGGTTCCGCCTGCCGGATTGCTTCCCTGCGCTCGTATAGCTAAGGGAGTTAGAATTTAGGTGTTGTGAGGACCTCGCTCCGCTCCCAGAAGATTTCGGGCAGCTGAAGGCATTGGAGAGCTTATTTCTGGTTGGGGTGGCGGGGATCACGGACCTTCCAGATTCGTTTGAGCAGCTGCAGCGGCTGCACTCCCTTTCCATCTACGGCTGCTACGACCTCTCGTCTTTGCCCTCCTCCCTGCCCCACCTTTCATCACTCACATCTCTCCACCTCAATGCACCGAATCTCTTAGCACTGCCAGATGGCTTCGGCCGCTCTTCATGCCTCCGAGAATTCAGTCTATGTGAGGAAAGCTTCACACGCTTACCTGACTCCTTGACTCTCGCCACGGCCCTGCAGCAGCTCGCTCTTCACGACCTGCACTCGCTCACATCCCTTCCTGACGACTTGGGGAACCTCACGAGCCTGCGGGAGCTTGAGATTGAGCGATGCAGCCAGCTGCTGCGCATACCTGACTCGCTGTGCCGGCTGTCATCTCTCACACGGCTGACAGTGAGAGATTGTTGCGCACTGGCGGCACTACCACATGTCATGGGCGACGGCCCGCACAGCCTGCAACACCTCACTCTCGGCTGCAATATTCAAACAAGCCTGCCTCCATCCTTCTTCAGGCTGACCTCCCTTGAAGAGCTGGGCATGTTTCAGCTGCCGTGCGTGAGAGGGCCCCTGCCAGACGCCTTCAGCCGCTTCACACACCTGAGGGACCTCTCTCTCGCTGCCACGCCGCACCTCACGGCCCTCCCGCCCTCGCTGGCTGCCGTCGCCCCCACGCTCACCAGCCTGAGGGTGGAGTTCTGCCACGGCCTGGAGGAGCTAGCAGAGGAGTTTTTCGGCCAGCTGGCCATGCTTGAGTCGCTCACGCTGTCGCACTTGAAAAGCTTAAAATCGCTCCCGCGGTCGCTGATGGAGCTGCCTCGGCTGCAGAAGCTAGTGGTATGGCTCTGTAGCGAGTTGGGCAAGAGCGCTTGTGATGTTCTGGTGGGCGGCAGCAGCGCCAGTATCCGGAGCAATGGTAGCGGCAGCAGCAGTTGGGAGTAGTTTGCAGTGAAAGCTCTGCTACCGTCACTGGAAAGCTTGTCCATCGATAATATTGCTTCTGAAACACTGGATCCCTCCGTGGGGCGCCTCTCCTCCCTGACAAGCCTGGGACTGTCAAACATGCATGCTCTCCGCTTACTTCCAGAGACCATCTCGGGATTGTCATATCGCTGCACATCGATTATGCTAAGTGTCTGGAAGCACTGCCTCAAGCCTTGGGACGACTCTCAGGACTCACCGATCTCTCCCTTACTAGACTGGATAGTTTGCGTGAGCTGCCCGGATCATTTGGGCAGCTGAAGTGGCTTGAGATTCTGGAAATCGGTTACTGTTCCAATCTATCCATCCCGAAATCGTTTCCTGAGTTGCCCAACCTGAAGCAATGCATCCTCTACTCCAATGTTGCAATCATATGACGTGCATGGGCGATGGATGGGTGCCACTGCAGCTACCGCTGGTGGTGGTGCTGCTGCTGGTGCTGCTGCTGCTGTGGGCGCCACCGCAGCTGCTGCCGCTGCTGCCAATGTCAAGGAAAGAGTTGACGGAGATGGGGATTCTGGTCATGTCGTGTCGTGGGGTGTCGCAAGCAGCATATTTGTTTTGAGACGGGAGATAGCCAAGCCTGCACTGGTGGGAGCGGGATGAGTCAGCTGCTTGTGGTTTGCCTATGCTTCTTGTGTGACTGGTCTGGTAAGGGAGGCTGGGATTCAGGGGGTTTCTAGCGATGCTTAATGACAGTAGGTAGCCTGGATATGCTAGTCATTATCCTAAGATATGCATGGAGCAAATTGTGATTGCAAACCCTCTTTTCACGAGTGGGTGGTTGTGTATTATTTTATGGTGTTAGGGCATGGTCAGGTTGTAAGTTTCCTACACTGTATGATCCTTGGATGTTTTTGGTCTTATTTGTTGCTTTGTGGTGCAGAACTGTAAAATATCGGAAACCGTTTTCCACCGTGTGGAATCTTCCTCTTGAGCCAAGAACTAACGAATCGCGCATCCACATGTGCTTGTTGAATCTGATTGTCATGGCAAACAAAAACCTAAACCCGAAAAAACTGTTGGAAACAATTGATTTAAGCACTTCTGTCGTGTCGAAACACCAAGACACAAGCGAAGCGAAACATGCATCGGTGAGTCAACCCTTGGAGGTTGAAGTAACTGCTGGAGGTTACGTCAAAGGTCAGCGACCTTTGACCTGACAAGTACAGCGCGACAGCAAGGACACACAACTGACTCGTTACAGAGCAGTTGCCCGAGTCGTCACTGTATCGAACCGCAACAGCAAATAGTAAAGTAGTTATAGCTGTATCTTTCATATTCCTTGTACTCTTATAAAACCTTGTATCTCTTTGCTTTAATCAATCTACTTTGCCCTCACATACTAGCGCAAGGTGGTTCAACTGTTTCATTAAAAGCTTCCGCGATTACAACAAGCCCTACCTAGAGTTCAGTCCTGCAAAAGATCCTAAGGGGTTTTCTCAGCCCAACATGGTATCAGAGCAAACAGGGCGAACTGAACTACTATCGAGTCACCTACAACATCAGAAGACATGGCAACCCAGAAAGAAAGGAGTTCCTCTAATGGTTCTCCCGGCACTACTCCTACTCCACCTCCTGCCTCTGGCCTACAGACAGAGGAGGGTACGGCAACAAGACCAAGGGCAACATCTACCGAGACTCCCGCGAATCAACCTGTAGGCTTCGACCAGAGCATGATGGAGAAGTTCTTCTCCTTCATGTCCTTCTACGAGCAACACCAGCAATCAGCACCTGCGCAGTCAAACAACAGCAACAACAACAATGGCGTGACGCCCATGAGTCTCGACGACTCATCCTACGCACGTGGAAATCAACAGCAGCAGCCTACCTTTGCTCCGTACGAACCTCAGCGCGGGTCCATCAGCTTCATGCCGCACCCGCAGCCTGCACCCGGACAAGAACGGACACTGGACGCACTTCAAGTTCAGTCGCAATTCGCGCACGTCTTAAAACTGCAGACGTCAAGACCATTCGACGGAAAGGACTTCTTCACCTGGTCGTTCGAATTCGAACTAATGATGAAAGGTGCACAGATTCTTGGCTTCTTCGATGGGTCCCTGCCATATCCAACACACGGCATGCAGTACGACAAGCAGCAGTACACGTATCAGTCAATGATGGCGTATACCATTCTGCTGAGGAACATCACTCCAAATCAACAACAAAACATTCGGTCTTACCGGGGATACGGCAACTCTGTCGGCTGAACTCGCGTACAACCACCTGAAGAACCTGTATCAAGCAACAGACAGCGTCAACCAGAGAACGGTGGAAATGAAACCGAGCGAAAAAAGGGATGACGTATATCAGCCGCTGTCGCGAATTGCGCGACAAGCTTCTTCGATGCGGAGGATCGATATCGGAAGACGCCTTCGTCACAGTCGTTATCTGTGGTCTTGGCCCTCAATGGCGCTCCACCCGAGCCATTCTCCGAGCCCACGAGAAGATCTCTGAAGCAGCACTCTGCGCCGAAATTCACGCCGAACAGCAAGACATGGACCTGCAAGAAGAAAGACACAAGAAGAGAACGTCAGTACCTGAATTCGCTTTTCATAATCAACAGCGCTACAACAACAACAACAATCGACATCAACCAAAGCCCGTACCTCCGTTTTGTCATCTCTGCAAGACGTCAGGGCACCCTCGCACACATTGCCCCAATCGACAGCAGTCAACATCAACGCAGCGGCAGCTTCGACCTTCAAGTACTCAAGTCGCCTCAACTCAAGCGAATCCCATCACTCAAGTACAAGCCTCAACGACGTCGACAGGACAACCTGCACAAGGAACAAGAAACATCGTCAGCTGCATGGCAAGACTGACCGACTCCTGCATCACCGAGTCACCGCCACATTACTCACCGGAAGAACAGCTCGACAACAGTACGCCCCGCCGCGAGTCACTTCAACCGAACCCGACGTATGCAGCTATCGCCCAAAGCGAGCCGTCCGGAAAAGACACTTGGTTCTTGGACAGTTGCTGCGGGCAGCATATGTGCTCTTCGGGTCGCTTCATGCAGCAAGAGTACCAACTTCAACGCGAAGTAATCATCACCGTCGCCAACAACCAGAACCTGCGCACACGACGACAAGGCGTGGTTCAACTTCAGTCACGGGAGACAAACGTCATACTGCAGATGTCGAAGGTTTTAATAGCAGAAGGACTCGGCTACAACTTACTCAGCGTTAGTCAGCTGATGGCAAAAGGCATCCACCTCGAAGCATACAGCACCACCCAAGAATTCAAGTTGTACCACGGGAGAGGAGGCCTCTACATCGGCAAGGCTGTACTGAAGAACAACGTCTTCGTCCTCGACTTCGTCCCAGATTTAGGCACCGCTGACAGTGACGCCATCGTCAACTTCACTTCTTGGACACACCCGCCGGATCTTGACCCAGGCTTCAGCCCCGGCGGCTTCTGGCATTCCCACACAATTCCTGAGGCATAACGAATAAGAGCGTTAGCAACGATTCAACAATCGGCAGCAGCAGAGACAACATCGGCAGTAGCAGAGACAACATCGGCAGCAGCAGAGGCAACATCGGCAGCAGCAGAGACAACGACAGCAGCAGCAGCAACATCAACACCAATCGCTGGCCCCTCAACACCATCAGCCTTCATCGACGATTCGCCACCGACGCCCGCGCAGCAGCTAGCTCTGACTCAACGAGAAGTTCACCGAAGCGCCAACTTCACCGCCGGCTTCTACTCCAACTCCGACATGTATCGGCGCTCACCCGGACATCGCGCCAGCGAAGACATCTGGCATGCAAGAATGGGTCACCCAAGCAACACAACATCAAACAACACAATAAGAGCAAGAGTGATCAACAAAGATTCACTACTACTGCACGACGGGAGAGAACTCCAACGAGTCAGAGGAACATGCTTCACCTGCCCTGAAGCCGACTTACCGCATCAGCCGTTCGTCTCTCACCACAACCCGAGCGCACCAGCTTACACACCGCTCGAGAAGGTGTACAGTGACATCCTGTATAATCGCGTACCAGGACAAGGAGCCTACAACTACACAATCGCGTTCATCGACGCCGCCACACGATACGTCTGGCACATGAACCTCCCAAGCCGTGACATGGCCTTCGAAGCCTTCGTTGCCTGGCTTCCAGCAGCAGAACGGGAATCGGGAGCTAAAGAGTTTTCAGTCAGATGGAGGAGGAGAATACACCTCACAACGCTTCAAGGACTACCTGGCAGAGAAGGGAATCAAGAGGCTCATCTCCCTTCCTTACGCCCATCAACAGCAGGGTGTAGCAGAAAGGATGAACGCAACCCTCCAGAACACCATGCGCAAACTGTTACGTGGCATGCGGCTACCCAACCACCAGTGGCCCGAAGCAATGGACCACGCCGTGATGCTGCACAACTTGCTCTCGTCATCATCGCTCCCGAACAACGCATCACCGCATCTACTGTGGACAGGAAAACTAGGCAGCACAAAACTGTTGCGCGTCTTCGGCTACATGGTACAGTACCAACCCCCAGCTGCACGAGCCGGCCGATTCTCCCAACGCGCACAGTGGGGACTACACCTGGGCATCGAAAAGAATTACAACGCATGGAAGATTTTTTACGTACACACCAAGGAAACAGTGGCAGCACGTGATGTCATTTTCTACGAACGACTCACCCTCGACTCACAGCGAGACCTCACCAGTGGATTTCGTGGAGACCGAGCCTTCGCTTCGGCAGCCGACGAAGCTGACTGGGACGAGCAGAACGTGGAAGGAGCCTCGGAAGCAGCCGGACCTCTCCCTTACTGCTCAGTCGACGTCCCGATGGACGACGAAAATCCTCGCGAAAGCATCAACGCCGAAGCCTACTACCACTTCGCGGACAACGGTTACGTTACACCTGCACAAGTCAACACCGACGAAGCAGAACGCATAGGACCGAACTTCAATCCCACACCAGAAGAGACGAAGCAGTCTATCCCGAGG